CTAGATTCTGAAAGGATAGGCTTTCGTGACTTCCTCCCATGCAGTGATGGTTCAGTTTTAAAGGAGGCTATATGTTAGCCTTAAAGTGCAGATGAAATGGCATTTCAAGAGCTTCAGTATCGTGGCGTATTTCTGAGTGAAACAGGATAGGTAAGCGGGATATATAATTCCATGAGTGGGATATGACTTGGAAGGAATTCGATTTGATCGTCAAAAAGTGGGCGTGTAGCAAACACAGAGGGGACCTGATGGTGAACACCGACAGCATAGCAGTATCAGTCTGGGAGAGAGAGAGAGAGAGACGAAGCCCATCGTATGTTCCATGTAGTTGCTGATGCAGCCAGTAAAATGCTTGTAAAATTAATTCCAGCCAGTGGGCCCATAACCAGGCTCAGACTGGCCATTGGGCATTTCTAGCAAATGCCAGATGGGCCAGTCCACCTTCTGGGCCACAAGGCCACCACCAGGGGCAACCTCTGGGGCTGAAAAATGAAGCCAACACTGAGGGGCCGAAACCTGCAGTTAATCCGCACAGGCCCCCATGTTAAAATACCCAACTTCATGACAATTTTACAGCGGTGAATTTTTATGTAACTCACCTGTTTACATTCTACACAGGCTCAAAGTTATGCATAATTAAGGGCAGGCTGCTTTGATGATAGACTGTCTGCTAATAGTGTCCTCGGCTTCCCACCAAAAAACCAAGATGGAGGCCAAAACTGATCTTGAGGCTTCAAAATGGGGGTCCGCAAACTAATGGATAACATCACAGTAGCTACGTCCATTATTCTTAGAGTCTATGGCCACCACCAGCAATTTTTGAAAAAATAGTCAGGGGGAAAGAAGAAAGAGCTGTTGGCTTCAATAGCCTACCTTTACAGTTAGGCAGGTGCAGTGGTACTGGCTGTTGTCACCTCCCCCGCCCCTTCAAGTGGATCAGTCCATCATGTAATGTTAGAGGTCAAGCAGGAAATGAATGAAATCAGGACAGAAAGAGTGGATTAAGTGGAATGAAAAAAATTGTGTAGATTATCTTGCTGAACAAAACCTCATAAACTTGTGTTTGCCACAAAGTTTATCTTCTGCAAGAATCTAAAATCCCACTGGCTTTTTGACGAGGGAACCAGGATGATGTTAGTTTGTGTGCTGGCCTACAGAGAACCGTCATCCCTGCAACACTCTATATGACCGGGGGCGTGATCTTAAGAGGTTAAAAGACATTTTTCATTTGATCTAGACTTTAAGGTGAACAAAGTGCAGCAAAACAACACTTTGATAATAAGCAAATAACACAAAATAAGTTTTCTCTTTGCATTATTTGCCATACTTTTCACTGGATCTGTGTTCGCCAAAGTCAGCAACAAATATTGGCAAATCATGTCATTTTGCTTTAGTCCTCTTGTGGCTAACTCTAGCTGGTATGCTGCTTACATTTTGCTTACAAAATGTGCCTTGACCATAGCCGAGTTTTTCCACAGTTAGCGGCTATTGTTTTTGATATTGTATTACTCTACAGTTTAGTATGATTTTTTAGTGCATGTAGGATTGAATTTAGCAGATACTGCCTGCTGTCGTAGCATCACGTCCCATGAAAACTTATCTATGGTTTGCTGAGGAAATAAAGTTCCTCAACCATGATTTAACACGGAGCAACCTAATTTAAGACTTTTTAAAATTCAATGTAATTTATACTTGTGCAGCTATCATGTTTTCATAAACCAAAACAAGCTTAAGGCCTACTCGTGTGCTTCTGCGTCTTTTTCTTTTCAGATTCAATTAAATAACTGGCAAACAGAATTAATTTTCAGTGCAGATTCACTCGCGCTCTCTTTTTATTTCATTCAGAATTCAACAACATTCAGTACTAAAAACTCCCCCCTGATATTTCCTGTCTGTAAGTGAGGCACTACTTCATGATCAGGGACTTTTTAATGAATGAATGTTGGATCATGATGGATGTTTTGTACAGTGTGGGGCTTTGGAGATGACTGAATGCTGAATGTGTTCGACTGAAGCCAGCAGCTGCTCCTGTCCCTGAATACCCACCCACCCAGTCCTCCCTCCACCCCACCACCTCAAGTCTATAACTCTATATTTACTCTGGGGTGGCGTGCTTGAGTCCCTGCCCCTCGTAGAAATGTACCACACACACACACACACACACACACACGTTGGTTTATTTTCATTTGGTGAGGTGGTGACCTCTGCTCCGGTTCTGGCTTCAGGTTTTAATTAGATAGGAACATCAATTAATGATAAAGCCCCACCCATCTGGAGACTGGTAAAAAAGACGTGGCTGGAGGCCGTAGTCAACCTCATCTGTCCTCATTTTCAAACCACACAGTCCCAAAGCTTTTATAAGTCGGGGTAGATATTAGTGAAACCTAAAGATATCGAGTTGACAGTGATCCAAAGCTTCAAATCTGAGAAGCTAGAGGCAGTGAACAGTTTCTACTTGGTAAAGCTGACTCCATTGCAATGAATTGATTTTGCAGCAAAATTTCTCTGTCTTAAATTCTGCAGGGTGCACGCGTTAAAGCAACACAATGTAGGATTGTGCGTTTTACCTCACGGGGTCCCCCTACAGACACAAACGGTATTGTCTATCACAACTGTCGCAAAAATCTTTCTCTGCGTGCATTTGTTGACAAGCCAACGATACCGGTGAACTTCCTGAAGCTGGCTGTGTAATACGCGATCATCATCGTGTCTTCAGAACAGGTAAAGTAGCCTTATAGCATTCTGTACATACATGATGAGGCTGAAACTCAGAGATGAGTTGCTCTCTGCATGTCAGGGCTGACCTCCTCCTCCTCACAGCGCGCCCACACACACACACACACACACACACAAACAACAGAGTGAAGTCAGACAACAGCAGAGAGGCCGCGGTGCAGACGAAGGGAATATAACTTCAAGATCACTCTAGTTGACGACAACTACGCTTGTTACTGTGAGTAAGAGCGATAAAACCTCTGCCAGCCAAGCCAATACTTTATCAATACATGTGATCAGCATGTGGAATATTTCATTCTGCTCTGTCCACTGTCTCTCATTCTCTGCTATTATGATTTACGATCGCGGTCAACACAAGCACATCACGCTTGCGAGGATAACAGCAAAGTGTTAAAGACAAACTAAATGAAAGCTGTCTGTATGTAGGCTAAGGGCTCATTTATGCTCAACATTAAATACGGATCCGGATACGGACGGAGCCTTCTGTCCGTGCTCTGCGTTCATTTCGTCCGTATTTCTGCACGTTTCCATAAAGCTTAAGGATACGGGCCAAACGGAGCAGTACCACCGGGAACTGTGGGGGCAGTGTTGCTGTCACTACCCGATACGTAGTTCTAGTGAGACACGAAGAAGAAATAACAATTCAATTTCTCTCATCGGCAGTACTAGAGAAAAGAATTCTCCGTCCTCCAGTCGCGATGTCTTTAACGGCCTCACCAACCACCTCCTCCACAACGCTGCCTCTGTTTTTGTCTTTTATGCAAGAGGTACATTATCAATATCTACTCCACAGTCGCCATGTTTGTTTTTGAGTTTGTTGTTGTCATAAACTTTTGACGCTGGGCTGCCTCCTGGTGGATATATTGGTTAACATCCATGCCAACGTAAAGGACGCATGGAAGTATGTGGGCAGTGACGGTAACATCGTTTGGAACGGACGTATACATTTTTGTACGTAAAGGGAGCATAAATGAGCCTTAACACTTTATGTGAACATGTACCTGAGGCAGCCGACCTGCAGACACTGAGGCTCCTCAGTAGAGGGTAACAGCAGTAGCAGCGCCAGGTCACCATCAGTCGGGCGTCACTCCTCCTCTTTCAGCTCTCGCCAGCGTGTGAAAGCCGGGCCAATATTAATCCTTGTTCAAGCTCTTGTTTTATCGCTCTCCCGTTTTCTTTGTCTCCTCGGACAACACCTTCACCTTCTTCCTTTTCTTTGTCGCTTCAGCCAGGACAACCACGTCTAACTTCGTTCACCTCAGTTCGGCTACACTACTCTAAATACAGGAGGGGGATATGACGTGTGCCGTAAAGCAGCCAAAGTTTGTAGTCTTTATTGTGTCTGGGTTCCTACCCGAACCCTGAAACTGCATAGTGCCAGTGCAAGTGAAACAGACGCTCTCAAGCAATGACGGAGGTGTCATCCAACCTATTGTGAGTTGATGCACCATCACAAGGATCTTGGATATATATTTTGAGGGCTCAAAAAGTCCATTGTGGATACTAAGAACATGTGGACAGTAAACCTGGGGAACATGTTATAGACCTATTTAGGGCGATGTCACGATATCATTATTAACTGGAGGCAAAACACGACTCTCCCCCACAGGGCTGTAGGCTACATCGCAGTCTTAAAATGTCGTCTTGGTGTGTTATTGGGAGCCAGAACAGAAGGAGTCATGGCTCAAAAACCAGCCGCCATGTTTAAGCTCATGTGGCTTGGAGGCTGGAGTGGACGCCGCATGTGCAGAGGCTCTGGCACTCAGAATGAGTATTTCAAAATGCACCACTGACATCATCTTCTGTTACTGACTTTGGGGAATTGTTTTGCCTCCAGCTAAGCCCTGCCCACCAAAAAGGTCATATTGTTTACTAACAGTAAAAAGGTCTTTATTAGAAAGGCAAAATAAAAGAATGCTACATTAAAGATAGCACTTAGCTACATAAGGTGGCTAAACAAAGGCTATGGACATGACTTTGTGTCTCTATAAGTGCAGGATGGTGAGTCCCCACAATGTAACTGTGGGATTCATGTCCCCACAACATAAGTAATATATGTTTGTACACACACACACACACACACACACACACACACACACACACACACACACAGTGAACAAATCATCAGTAACCCTTCACAGGAAGTGGAGTAGGCCGTAAGATGAGAGCAGTGTCAGGAGAAGAAACAGACAAACACAAACCTCACAGTTTAAGGAGATAAAAAAGGGAACATTTCACTCAAATGACACATCGGCACCCCGGTGTACATTAAAAAAAACATTTCCTTTTTTATTTTGGCAGAGACCAAAAATAGCCTCTCAAAGTCTACATGCAGAATATTAACATGTCAAACACATTCTAGTCACATTTAGAGAAGTCACGGCTGCAATGGTCGACAACAAGTAGAAACACGTTGCTCGGCGGAGGGGGTGGAGGGTGGGGGGCTGGGGGGGTGGGGGGCTGACCTACGACCTGTAGACGTTACAGAAAAGAAAAATCCTGTGACAGAAAATAAAAATGGTAAACACACAGGGAAGAAAAACCTGCCGTCAACTGACATTTTGGACCTCGGAGTTTCACTTCCACGCCGAAATCTGTAATCACGACTGGGCCATCCCTCCCTACTGAATCGGATGAGGTAAAGGACACACTGACCATGCATAAGAAAATATAAATGATTATCGAATTATTAACACTGATTCACTGTGAATGCTAATTGTTCTCTGGAGATTAAACTTTAACTTATCTTTCTTATTGATTTTTTTGCAACCTAACTGATGTTAGATAATGTTAGCTTAATGCTTTGAATCCTAGAATATAGTTTGCACATGTGAGTTTGAAGTTAGTTAGCATGCTAGCCAACCTTATTTTGATATTCCCCAAATATATCGCAGCTCATGCGTAACATTCAGGTAGCCAGCTGAGTCGACCAATCAAGGCTTAGTGTTGGAGCACTTTTGGACCCAGAGGACCTGATGTGAGCAGGCAGGCCCATATATCACTGCAAGATGTGCCACTTTTTGTTACTGCAGACTCTGGCTGAGAATTAGCTCCACGTAGCAGATCATTTTTGTCCAGTGGTTGCATGTGTGGACAAGTATGCTTGGGCCAATTCAAGGGGTATTATTCATGAGTCTGGCAACCAGGTAAACTAGATTTCTAGTTCCTGATCAGATCAAAACCTGGCACCAGTGAACAATAAGCAGCCCCTCCAGGCTGTGATCACAACACGTAACGGAAATTCCCATGAATTCTGTGTGACCTTGCAATTTTGTCCAATCACTGAGTATTTAAAGCAGATAAAATCTCATGTCATTGTAGAGCTGTGTGCAGCGTATTGATCTGCTCAGCCCCTTGTTGCCCTGCTCTCTCATCCTCTTGGTTTAACATGGAACTACTGCTACGGGACCGGAGCTCTGCGCTTGGGACAGCGTCACACACACAGTGACAGGGCTAACTGTTAGCAACTGTCATTGAACCTGTTAATACAGCTTAAATGACACAGTTGAGCTGTTTCAGTGTCAGGGCGAGATTGTTGGGACGGTTTAACGGCTCGGTGTTGCTGCTGTGTTAGCTCATGCTAACTGGGCAGAGAGAGCAGGACAGAGGCTCACAGAGACGGTCCCTCAGCCCGGGTTTAAACAACAGCAACAGTTGTCAGCTGATGCGAGGACGTGCTTCACAGCTAATATAACAGCGTCCTCCATTTGGACGCGTCAGGTCTCTGTTACCATAAAGGTCCATACTGCTAATATTGTTTGCGATTGATCAACAGTGTGACTTTGGCGTAACTGCAGCCACTTCCTAATTATCCTGACAACGCCATCAAGGTAACTGATTTTGGTCCAGACTTTAACTTTAATAATGCTGGTGTGAACTGGCCTTTATACTTGACTGGGCAGCTTTTCTGATTCATTATCCCCAAATTAATTTAGTAACCAACTGTAGCTTAAAGTCTCTTCTTCTCAAGGCATTTTCACACCTTTAAGTCCGAGCCAAGGTTCTTGCATTTGCATTGTAAACATTTGATCTGGTTAATTTTGGTTTCTCATTGTAATGATGCGAGCGCTCTAAAGAACTTTGTAAGGCATACCTGTGTCCTGTTGTCATCGCCTGCCGCCTACGTTCTATCGTCATGCCCTTATGTGAGATGGTTCTCCCAATACTTGACTGACTGCTCTGCAGATGGGCTCATCTATCCTCTCGTATCCTCTCTCTCTCATCTGATTGGAAAATAATAAGAAAAGGTTGGAATTTTTATGATTTTTTTTTTTGTAAAAGAGACCAAATGTCTGTTAAACATTTGGTTTTCATCTATGATCCACTGCGGTTCTGACGACAGCCTGCAAGTACTTCCTGTAATTGGTCCGAATGTCCCAACCATCCACAAAATGTTTTCACACCAGAACTGAACAAAGTTTCAGCTTGATCCAGATTGAGACTGACTATTTCATCTGACTACGGTTTAGCTGTTTGATCTGGGGAGGTTTCACACCTGTAATTTTGGTTCGGACGAAACAGAAAAGTCTGAACGTCCAGACCAAAAGAGGATGGTGTGAAAGGGCCCTTAGTCTCTTCTCGCAGTTTCAGTTTCAGTTGTAATCATTCTATAACTATAAAGTTGCAAAGCGGAGTAAATGGCAGTAGAGTCAATGCATAGTTAATCGCCTTTCATCGCATCAGGAGACACAACATTTTTTTTAAGTAAAATCTTGGCGTGCTCACACTGTTGGAACAAGTCAGCTTTAAACAGATGACAGCAGATATTTGTCACTTTTCACAAGTCAATTTAGTTTCCTTACGACAATGATAACCATCGATTTTAAAGCCTGAAAAAGATTTCTGTGAATGCCTTGACACAAACGGATTATCAGAAGCTTGTATTCAGAGAATATCCAATATGACGTGAACAAGTGACTGAGGTTTGAATACTAAAAAATACAAGTCAGCTTTTGCATCCAGACACTAAACACTGTTGACTGTTGATTTCTCCAACCTCCTGAATACTGAGCATCAAAACATACATTGCTGTTTTAGAAACTCAAAAGACTAGTTCAGATAAAACCAGCTGCTATCACTGGACGCCATGAGGAGAAGGTTTAGTTTGTGATTGATTGATATTACGATTGTATTTTAATTTAAATTCACCATTAAAAGGAGTGACAGAGCCGATCTGAAGCAAAGAAAGGTTTCACTTTTGAGAGTTCAGAGGTGGGACGGAGGTGGAGTTTACAGCTCAAGAACAAGACAAGTTGGTTTGTAAAGAAATGTCGGGACTTTGATAAAAAACACACAAAAATGACATAAATAATATAACAACAGGTTGTGTTACAAAGAACTCATGGACACAAGGGAACAACACAGAAAAGGCATCGTCATTCACTGGATATAAAGTTCCTGTCGGCATACTGTCAGGATCGTTGTTGACTGTATTTTCTGTCTGCACGGTTTTCACTTAACAATAATACCCTAGGAGACTTTAATGATGGTGAGTTAGCTGCACACCACTGACATCTGTAGGACCTGCATCTGATCACATGTTCACAGCGGAGGGAAACGTTGTCTTTAAGAGATACAATTTTACTGTAAAGTGTTTCCTGCAGGATTATTATAGCGTTTTTTTCTGTACGGGATCCTCTGTGCTTGGAATGTCTCGCTGAGGAGCAAATGCAAAACTAAAACAGACAAAAAAAGGACACAAATATTCTCTCACATTCAAAGAAAAGCCTCGATTACAGCCCACTCAGCAACCGAGACTTTCTCCAGTTACATAAAAAATATCATTTAGAGTTGCAGTCGGTCCTTCAAACCCCAAAACAGCCGACGCACTTCCTTTTACAATCCTCAGCTTTTCGGACGAAGACGCAAAAACATTCCTCTGAGGGTGAAAATCAACATGAATCTGTTCCTCAACAAAGCAAAAGTGGTAATTAGAAGAATGTACTCCGAAGTTTCCAGCCGTCGACACAAGAGTTCTTTTATGTTATTTTCTGGTGCGGTTTCCCAAAACATTACACATTCCTTTCTTCAACAGCGACTTATACCTTCCCCCCTCAGTGTCCTCCGTTCATCAGTCCGACTTTTTGGATTCCAATCTCCATCGGATCTCTGCGGCTCTGAGATGGAGGAGGCGTCGGGGCCGTCGGCTTTTCTTTTAAAAAGTTAAAACTACACCACAGTACACAGTTTTCACAAGTCATGCGAATATACAGGAACTAGAATTTAGAAACCAACGTTTGAAATAAAAGTTAACATAAAAACCTTGAGTAAAAACTACTTTGAAGAAAATAATAATAATAATTATAATGATAATAATAAATTATTAGCTTGTTTGACCACAGTGAAGTCTTTACATACCAAAGAATAAGTGTAAACATATCTATATCACTGGCTGGCCCCCGCTCACCTCCTACAAAACACAAAAACAAACTGCATTTGGTGATCAGCTGCACATTAGTCGTAAGACGTAAAACAGAGAGGGGCGTAGAAATCATCTTTTTCAATAAATAGCACATTCCAGAGGGGCAGACATCACTCTGTTAGCCAGTTTACCAAAGGTACAGTATTCATAAAGTATTCAACAAAACCTTTAACATTTAAAGTAATTAAGACAGCGGACATGTTAACGATGTAAAGTGACAGCGGGTTTTGACGATTCGGCTCCTTGTACTTGGTCTTGCGGCAAAGAAAGACTTTCCATCCAAAAGCAAAAAAAAAAAAAAAGAAAAGAAAAAAAAGGAGGGAAATAAGGCCCCTTAAATAAATATTCTTCTTTTTTAAATGGTTTCCCAGGAGAAAAAAAATGGATACCTCACATCAACCGTTAAAAAATGGTTTTCCCCACACTGTAAGAAAAAACTTATCAAAAAGAACCCAGACAAACACGGCTATACCATCCTGGAGTTAGTGTCCGAGGAAAAGTGTCCGAGGTTTTGTTTTTGCCGGCGACCCCTGTTGTTTTTCGGACATTTCCTAAAAAGAGACAGAGAGAGAGAGAGAGAAATGTATTCATGTGACAGTGAGACTAAAGACAGACGTTTTGACATTTCAAGAGGTTTTACTGGCAACAGTTAACTGTCAGTGCTTTCTCAAAATCTCAAAGTCCTAAAAGTGTTTCCGTGGTGTCTATTTGGTCTGTTTACCTTTACAAACTGGAATAACTGCATTGCAGTTGTATGCCCCTGCGAACCCATGGGTCAAGCCGCAGTTACAGTTTACATCCATGTCTCTGAAAACAAGGATGCCTCAAACGCACCCCCCACCGAAATCCAGTCAGTTTATTGTTGAGTCCAAGTGGACATTGGTGCCAAATTTAACCTCTCTAACTCCACCAGGACGCTGACGTCCTCGCTCCCCCCCTCCTCTGTTAAATGGTATCTCCCAGGTGCACTACCTCATCAAACCATGTGATGTTTGGTATTGACAGATTCAGGAAGCTCTCGACTTTTCAAAAATAACATTGTATTTCTTTTATTTATTATGTATTTCGCACCAGAGCAGCCTAAACACACAAAGTCCAAAATTGTCATGAGTGGTGACAAGTCATGTCATGCTGTTTTTTGGCAGGAAAAGTTAAAGGTTTACTCGTGATCTTATGTGGAGCTGTTAGTGGGGACTTAGCTGGTTTATAAAAGGTAAGAGTCTCACTCCTACCACTATTTTTGGCTGAGATATACCTTCTAGAAAGTGGGATCATAACTTTCATGTTTCATATGGCTTTATTTGGTGATATTTTATGGTGTTTCTGTGTCATAAACAACATCAGCTATCATAATCACACCTGATTTCAATAAGGTACAATGTTTGAAGCTGGCTGAGTGTTGTTTGATCACTGATAGTACTGTTTTGAAGCTGAGTGACCGACTTGTCATTTGGAGCTTCGCCTGGATCTTTTCATGGTAAAAACACTGTAGAATGGTCATACTTTGAGCAGTCTTCTTCAAATTTGAAACAATTGTTCATTGATAGTGTGCCTACAGCCCCACAGTGTCTTTTACCTGCTCAGATGAAGCCACAGACAGTTATTCATCCTGAAAAACATTTTTTATTTTATTTTAGCAAAATCTTCATTTTTCTACTGACTTAAGAGGCTCATTACTCTGTCTCTGTATCACCTAGAGTGTTTCTGACACTTTCACAAGAAACTTCAGAGAGTTTTCTTTCTGGCAAGACCTCATGCATGCATGTAGTCAGAGCGGTTCAGAAGCTATAGTCATTTTGATTTGGGTATGTCATTTTAGGTGTTTTTGCTACAAAATGGGGTGGAGTGCAAGAGGTTTTAAAGAAATTCCCTGGAGATGTTCTTGAGATATCGTGTTCACAAAAATATGACAGATGCAAGGTCATTGTGACCTTGACCTTTGACCACCGAAACCAAATCAGTTCATTGTTGAGTCAAAGTGGACGTTTCAGGAATGGGATGTGCTGTAGGACAGTAGGATGGTAGGACAGACGGACGAACAAACTTAAAACGTAATGCCTGTGGCTCGACTGTCACCGGTGCAGTGCACGTCACACACTGAGCGAGCCGCCTGTTAATGACGCTGTGGGCTAATGGGCATGTAGCTACTTCCATGTTTCATATGATACGTCATGTTTGTAGTCGACCAATGAAGATGAGTTTACATATCACCTTGGGTTCGTCCTTCACCTTCTCAAAATGATCCCACACTTTGGATTTCCTGCCCGACATGTTATTAACTAGCCTGTGGAATAACTGCAGGTACCAGCCCTGGATATTAACCTGACTCCTGTCTGACTGCTGAGCGTGGACACTTCCTGTGTCTGTCCTTTCAAAGTAAAGTCCCACATGGTCCAGTCATATAGGTTTGGATTTATTCTGACAAGGCGCAGCTCCCAAGAGAACTTTATGTTTGCTTGTCTTTTTTTCTGCGACTAGGCGACCAATGAAATCTTGCCAAATAATGATCTTTCCATTTGGTGGACGATTAGGAGGCAGCCCTTATTTAACTGAAGTAATGGATCTGAGTACTTCCCCCAGTACGGCCTGGTTGTCACATGTAACTGGAGTTAGAGCGTCCACATTTACCAAGAGATTTATTTTGAACATGTTAATGAAACGAGAAGCTTGTTTTACTATCAAACTGCTGCCTAAAAAATCCTCTGCAATACAAAGAAAGACTTAGATTTGATTTTCTCCTCAGAGTGAAGCAGGAAAGTCAGTCTGCTGCCTTGGAGAAACGAGGCCAAGTCAAATCCTGTTTAATTCTCCTCAGCTTTAAACCTCCACCGCTGCCGTCGTCCTTCCTCTGCAGAAACCTGACAGACATCACACCTCCGCTTCACGTGTGATGGAGGAACAACGAGGCTGCGTTCACTGCCAACAGGTTCACAGCTGTTTGTCTGAGCTGTGTGTGTCTTTAGTTTGTCCAGGTGAGACAAACAACATTCAGCAGGTAACAAGACACCTGGAGATGTGTCTCTACAACCCAGAAATACAAACTGAATAATAATCTCTTCTATAATCTCTTAATCCATCAGGTACACACAGATTATTTTTAGATTCTGTTGTACATGTGTTTTAGTTCACACCTTTCTGTGCACATTATGCAGTAGGGGATTATCACTGAGCCTTATACGGTCTTATTATGTATTTAGAGTACTCTAACACTGCGGATTAAAACTACTTCATCACCATCTTCCTCATGTGCCCCTGTCAACTCAAAGGGATTAAAATTCTTCTGACTCTCCTGTTTCTGTACTGTGAACCTGAGATTTTCATAAATTTCTTTTGTAATATATAAAAGTATATATATTTTATTTTATATGGTTTAATTTTGTTCTTTTATTTTAAAGCAAAATTCCACATAAATACAGTGGGAATGTGAACATGATGCAGTGTGTGCACTTCGGCAATATTAAATAAAAAACATTCATCAACTATTTATAAAAATGCAATTAAAGTATTCTGATAGGATTTAAAAAGATGGATACATTAATGAAAAGTTATATATTTTAATGGGTTTTCAGCACCACTTAAGTGCTTTTTTAAGGGTAAAAACTAAAATTGATCAAAAAAACAAGAAAACCATCCCATAATTCCTTAAAAGGGCCTTTTCTTTTTAATGTCAAACCCCTTCTAATCAAGGGGCATTAACCCCTTAAGGTATTTTGAGGTACACGTTGAGGGTTAATTGTACATTACCATGCAAAAACCCATTATTTAAAGTCCTTTAAATATATTTCAACCCATTCATTTATCTCACTTTTGGGTAAAATATATGAAATATCTGTATACTGAATAAAAATCCCTTAAATGATCAAGTTGCACCTAATGAAAAACAAAAGCCATTAAACTTATCCTTAATAGACCTCGCTGACATTTTAAATTAATTTAGAAATTAAGGGCAAATTCCCTTGCTCTCATGTGCTAACTGGAATTAAGTTCTTTTAGGGGCTCTGGAGTTAAGTGGATGCCGCCTCACCTTGTGATGCACATCACCACGGCGACGATGATGGCGATCTGCACGGCGCCGATGATGGCGGCGATGAGGACGTAGTGAAGCTTCTGTCCACTGGGGACGACGTAGAGGATGTTGAAGTCCTGAGGCTCGTCACACTGAGGACCTTTGTAGCCTGTGTCACACCTGACACACACACACACACACACACACACACACACATAGCAGCATGTCAGCATTGGTCCACAAAGGATGTGTTCAGGGACGGTACTGAGTGTAGGTCATCTGAGTTTTGGCAATTATTTCTGCAAAACTGAAGAAAACTGAGTTGAAAAAGACGCTTCAGGTCACAGTTACATGTGTGAAGCACCAGTTGACAACATGTCTGTGGTGTAGACAGCTCTACTGATTAAAACTGAGGACTTTCTGTCACTGACATGACATGGACTGAAAAACAAGGCTAGAACACCTGCCAAGCAGACATGATGTAATAACAGCACATATCACTGAAACATAACCATAAATTTGTCAATTTGATGTTGAAAATCAACAGGATTTGGACTTCTGGTTGATCCATGTCTGAGTAAGACACGAGTCACATTGCTCTCAGTCAAATCTTATAAAACTTATCTGAAACAAAATACTCTGGCCAACATTAATGTTAATGTTACTCCACCATCTAATAACACGGTGATTTAAGACCATGTCACACCGCCTGGCCGCCTGGCCTGTCCTGAGGGTGCAGATCCAGCTGGAGATTCAAAGACCTGGGAAACAACACGGTGCTAAAGGCTGCTGCTTCGCTCCAGACTGAAATACGCTCACTTCAGACTGAGATTGGAGCCAAAATTGACTCAAAAATTGACCAACTTTCAACCACAGTCAGGGGATAAACTGTCAGCTCTCAAATGCGAAACTGACACCGCCATCTCTGCTGTAAAAACTACCTTGAAGGAGCATGCTAACAAGCTAGTAGACTTGGAGCACAGTGGGTCTTCTACTGCTGATATAATCAACAAGCGGAGCGTAAAAACAGTGGCAGAGCAGCTCTTCGATCTCGAGGGGACACATCAGGGAGCAAAGCCTGCAAATTCTGTATGTCACGGTGGGGGATGAAATGGTTAAAAAACCCAAAGACTTTGTTGCTTAACGTCTAAAAGATGCGCTGTCTCTGGAGGAACAGATGTCACAGAGCGCTCCGAAACCTCCTCACCCTTTCATTCTCAAAATGCTGTACACTCACCAGCTGGAAGTAATACGACAGAAAGTGACCAAGATCCAGCAGGTAACTTTTAACGGACAGAGGATGCTGATATTCCTGAATGACCCCCCAGCAGTTGTGAAAAGCTGTGCCATGTTTAAAAGAGCAAGAGAGCTGCTGAAGGATAAACCGGAGTGAGGTTTGGTATGCAAACCCTGCGAAACTACAGGTCACTGTCAATGACAAGGATCTTTTTTCCACAGACCCAGAAAGGGTGACAGAATTTGCAGAGCAGTGGAACAGGTTGATACTCAGTATGTGAACACTTTGAATATGTGTCATGGACAAATTACTGAGAAGAGTTATTTACCTGGTCTGATTCATTCTGTGCAAGTTTTTTTATGTTCATTCAGACTGAGTGACAGAAAAATTAACCTCATACAACTTGTTGTACCAGTAGGATTTATACTGGTACAAAACAACTGACAAAAACAACATCTTCATATCAGTGATGACATTTTTTAATTTCAAATCTACAGGTGAGTGTAACTGTCGGACCAGTAATAGCAGCAGGAGTATAGACCCTTTTACTGTTAGTGAACATGACGTTTTTTGGTGGGCGGGGCTTAGCTGGAGGCAAAACAGTTCTCCACAGACATTAGCTAGCGCTAGCTAACAAGTTGTGTTGTCTTGTTTTAGACGATGGAGGAAGATGATGTGAGTGGTGCGTTCAGAAACACTCACTGTGAGTGTGGGAGCGCAAACTGGAGCGTTGATAAATTGGGAGCGCTGTCTGAATGTAGCGTTGGGTTATCCAGAGCTCCGTTTCTTCCACCAACAGGGCTCTCATTTTAGTGTAGAGCGTCAGACTGAATTTACCAATGCACCATGTCAGGTCACTCACTCTCCGGGACCGCCAGTGTTACTTGAATAAGTAAACACTGACCAACGGGACCAGACTGGCCGACCCGTATGCTCTCACTCAGTGGATGGATGATGTCACAGGAAGCCAATCTTACAAAGGAGGACCACACTTGTTTGTTTTGCTATGGAAGCTAACGTTAGCTAATGTGCTAAAAAGTTAGCGTTGCAGAGAAATCCAATTTTCCTCTTAATCCCTCCCCAGTTTCTGATGAGGTGGACATGATAACCCTTAATACACATAACCTTATTCATCCCTACAACAGGAAATACTTTTTCCCTAACCTGATATGAAGTGTGCGCTGCACATGTGAGCATTTTTGATGATGGCCTCCGTCCAGTCCTTTGGTCTTATCACATTTAACCATAGTTGTCTTTGTTTTTGTTGACGGGCAGTGGCGGCTGGTTTTGAGCCATGACTCCTTCTATTCTGGCTCCCAATAACACAACAAGACAAACACATTTTAACACTCCTATGGAGCCTACAGCCCTGTGGGGGAGAGGCAGGTTTTGCCTCCAGATAATTCACCGACATCATTGTGATGTTAGGCCTAAAAGGGTCTATAGGTACTGGTAGATGATGGGGGAGTACTCTGATGGTAATACAGAATGATTCCAGCACAAAACACACAAGTGTAGTAGCTCTGTTATTATGAGCAGTTATAGTTCGGGCAGTCACAGACCTGCAGGTTGCCATGTTGTATTTGATCTCACATTTCCCGTGAACACAGAAGCCGGCGTAGCTGTCAGCACAGGGGATCGGCATCCCTGCGTAGAAACCGTCACCGTGGTCCAGACCGGTGGTTTCTGAACAACAAAAACACAACATGAGAGGACGATCAGCTGATGAACCCACTGCAGATACTGGAGGATCAGCTGCTGTACAGGTGAGTGTTGGATGGCGGTTTCAGCTGGTCTTATCTAAATTTAACAGCCTCCATTTGTAGTCACTGAAATAGTCCAATAAAACAGCTAAATACGTCCACAAAAAAGAAGAGATAAAAAAGATCACAGATTACAGCAGCAGCACAAGAGAACAGAAAAGGAACTGTTTAAGTGACATAAATACACTTTAAAACACACTTTTAATACATTAGAAAACATTAAATACAAACTATATCAATAAATTATGCAAATATATATATATGTGCAGCAATGATGGAGGTACTAACTGAAAAACAGGTACCCAAAATGTACTGTACATAGGTGTAAGTAATTATAATATAACTAGTCCATAGCCATTGGTGGCTTTGTCACCTTCTACCTATGCCAGTCCTCAATGCCTATGTGCAGTTTCACATAGATTGACCACGTCAGTGAGTAGAAAAACGTGGGACAGACAGAATGACTGACTGACAGAATGACACACTGACAGTTTCCGTGATTATGTACAGCATACCATACCATGACTTAGTCATACCAAACATTAGAAAAAAACACCAACATTGGTCCACAGGGGGAGCCACAGCGATCGGTCGCATTTTAGCCATTTTGAAGCATTTTTCTGTTGTTATAGCGCCACCCAGTTGCCAATTAGAGTTAAATTTCTCCAGTCACCTTGAGGCGTCCTGTTCTACATATCTACCAAGTTTAGTAAAAATCCATATGGCGGTTAGGCCTAGATAAGAAATGAGCTCTCTAGCGCCCCCATTTTGTTTGATGGGGTCAATAATGGAGGGGTCCCCTCAGATTATGTGTGGTCATATGCCTACAAAGTTGCGTGGTGATGGGTGAAACCCTTGAGATGTTATACACCTTTATGTGATGAGCCACGCCCTCCGCAATATTCATTGCCTTATAGAAGCTCAGTTTTAGTAAGTTTTCCAACTTTTGCCAAGAGGGAACTTTAGATATTGGTCCCTAGATTATGTTCACCCAGTTTCATGCAGATCGCTCAAACTTCCTAGGAAGAGATCCATTTGAAGTGTTTTTCAAAAAATTCAAAATGGCGGAAAATCTATATAAGCGGAAGTTATGGGTTCTTGAGGCAAATGTGTTCCTCATGAGGAGAGGCATCTCTGTGCAAAGTTTCATGTCTCTATGACATACGGGGCATGAGATATGCCCATTCAAAGTTTGACATTTCAATGGGTTGCTATAGCGCCCCCCTTTGGCCAATTGATGTAATATTGCTTCATTGGCATCCTCCCATGACCCTCTACCACTGTGCCAAACTTCACATGGATTGACCAAGTCAGTGAGGAGAAAAACATGGAACACACACACACAGACACCGTTCCCCTCCAGTGACGAGCTCATCAAAGCCCACTCCTCCTCACATCCAGATCCTCAGCTCCCTCTTCATCTCATGTCATCACCACCCTTAACCACCACCAGCATCTAAACTCTAATCTACCACATCTCTACCGCCCTCCTGGAATATATGACATCACAATGGGGTCTTTTCACATTTCTCATACTTGTGTGCACTTGTGAATAAATAGTAATAAATTCTTTTCTCTCAGAACCAGTCTCTCCTGACTGAAATAATAACACAAATGTAATGTGGTTTGCAGAAATGTACAATACCAGCATTTTAGCATTTTAATGTGCACAGGTAGGCCAGAATCAGGATGGTCTTGTCGGGCTTAGCCAAGTACTCGGATGAAACAAGTATCCGGTACAGATACAGACAATGTACCTATGTGTACGGGTAGCATCCGAGTAAATGTGTCAGTATCCGTATCCTCATTTCATGTCCTGTTTCACCCACTCGTGGTTCAAACCCCGCCCACTCTGGGATACAGATAATCTACTTGGTTGAACAGATACAGACACAGATAATGGTGGACCTGTTCATTCCTAGTCTTTAGGTGTTGTCTATGAGCGAGAGCAAGAGAGTAAACTGGGATTATCTGAATTCTTAATCTTAATAAGAATATTGCTCTAAATCATTAAATAGCAGGTATGTGATGTCATCATTATGATAAGAAATTTGCACGAATAATCAAGTGATTCTGTTAAAAAGAAACAAACAAAAAACAAAAACAGAGATGAACTCAGTCCTTCTGTCGGCCGCTCTGCTGTGTTGAGCGGATAAATCATAAAACACAAACGCTTTGCTCATTAAGGGATTCTTCAATCATACACAGCTGTCTCTTCCCTGTAATTCAGTGCAGTAATAAAGAAACAGCCTACAAAGCAATCTGCACTGCTCATTAAAATGACTGATATGCAATGTACCAAATTCATATCAACGCGAAGAAAGCCTTTGATAACAAACTGCGTGTGTGGGAGTTTAAAGTTCACTGCTTGGCACTTTACGACTACAGAACTAACAGGACATTTGGGAGATTTACAAGCCTTAAAAAAAATCCAAGAAGTGCTGTTTAATCAAACCTTTTAAATTGTCAAATTGTCAGAAATACTAGAGATTACGAAGCCCGGTTTCATGGGTTTCATAAACTCAGGATTTGCACTCTTTTTCCAACCTGCAGGATCTTTTAATTCCAGTAACGAGGAGCAAATCATCAAACTGTAGTCGTGAGGTTTTCATGTGTTCACTGAGGATTATTCCAGCTGCTGTTATGGGAAGCACAGCATTAACTTATCGTCTATTACTTACAGCACAAAGAGGATAATCACTAACATGATACCTTTACGGCTGCATTAGTGATGCTGTAATTACAGACTCAACAAATGTGTCATTTCAACATCCTGGGAATCTTTCCAGCACTTTCCTACAAACCTCCCTGAGAGCAGCTCACAGAGGAGAAAACATTAATGACCATAATTTGCTTGAGAGCCCATATTTAGCTGGTTTTTTTTTTCCTTTTTCGATGATTATAATGTGACACAGAAATGATCACTGAGCAGCGAATGATGAGTGAAAATCCAGCAGCATCTCCTCCGCATGGTTTGTTTGGTATTTTTGTTCTTGTTTTTGGGCTCAAAAAGACAAATTAAAGGCCAATCAGGGTTTTCAAACAACATTTTAATGATTCACAAGCAGCGAGCTTGTTGGGGCTTTTTGTAAGCTGTCCTCCAGCCAAACTGTGGAGAGATTTTGGCAGTTCATTATTTTTATTTACTGGAGTTTGTGTTATGGTTAATGAGCAGAATATCAGCATCTAATCAGATTTTACTCTGTCCTCACTGCACCTGTCTCTTTCTACCCTCAGTTCCTTTTCTTTAAGGGTTGTTTCTGTGAATGCAGCCTTCTGTAAGAACTGGATGCCAAACTCCAGATTCCAGGTTTTTTCTCAGCTCTGGTAAAGTTCAGCAGATATAAAACCTTTGTGGATTCAAAATTCATAATGCAAAAGTAATAACTGTCTGCACTTTGAGTCGTCCTGTTAGTTTTACAGACGTCTCTTTTAGAATGGTGATATATGAAGAAAATGCTAATTTAGGTTTTGCATTCGCAGTGAGAGCACAATGAAAAATTATTTTATGAAACTTATCAGAAAAAAGTTTTTAACTGAGAAGCTGAGAGTGGTTGCGCTTGCAATTATTTTCTAATGCCATATGAGCTGTATGAAACAGGCTGGTAAACTCCAGTAAATAGTCTGCACCAGGATGTTTGGGTTGGTGCGAGTTGTGAGCTGTAATTCAGCAGTAAATAATCAGCCGTGTGTGTCTGACTGTGGATGGTGGAGCTGCTGAATGGATCTGTGGAGTTTGTTAGTTGCAGCGGTGGCTGTTAGCAGTTAGCTCCACTCGCAGCCTTCACAGCTTCACCCCGCAGGACTCCACTCAGTCCGGACTGGAGAAGGTTTGTGGGTTGATGGTGTTTGACAGGCAGGTAGGAGGCTCAGTTATCTGTGAGTGTAGCTGTGCTGTAAGTAAACAGTCTGAACTCAGATCAGTTTTCTCTGACAGAGATGAAAGTTTAGTTTGAATCACCAACTCTGTGAGAGGACACCAGTTTAAACCTCCAGACTAACATGTTGCACATGAAGAAACAAGTTATGTTTCTGCTTCTCAACAGTCACATGGATAAGTCAGAGTTTACAATGAACCTGGGGACAAATCCTAGTTGGCTCACGTTAGTTATTTATGGTGTGGATTTTGAGCTTTTCAAATGATGAACAGTGAGTGCATGCTTGGAAGTCATCCTTTAAAATTGTAAAAAAAGAAAAAGAAAAAAAGAAAAGAAAAAACCTCTGCTGGAGAAATGCAGGTTTGTAATTGTGTAGGAATTAATTTTAGTTGTAAAAAAAAAAAAAAACGCGAAGCAAATGCCACGAACTAAGCCGCATGAATCAAGCAAGTAGCATGATTTTGCGTCGCACACTCATTCGTGAGAGTTAAAAAAAATCTGAACTTAAGTGACTGATTTGCGCTGTGACAGCTGATCAGCATTGAGATGCTCTGGGAATGCATGACGCAGAGGACGTACCGGCCGAAGTTCATTCATCGGAAAAATGGAGGAGAAGCTCATCATGTCTGTCTGTGGCTACCCTGAGCTGTATGACATCATGTCCTACTTCTATACAAACAGAAATAAAAAGTAGCTCATTTGGAGGAAGGTGAGTGAGTGAGGTGGGATTATTTGGTAAATTGCAAAAACATATGTCTGTTACTATTTTACAGCATAGCATAACTGGCTATATCCTCTCTCACAATATTTTGTGTCTTTTGGGCACTTATGTACATGCGATTTCATGCACATATGACACAAACTATTTGTGCATATAAATCTAGTCTACACAAAATATTCTCGTGTCCAAACTCGCAAGTAACGCAATGTGATAATTCGAATCACAAACTGTTATCAATAAATCAATCAATTTTATTTATACTGTAAAGCCCAATATCACAAATCACAATTTGCCTCACAGGGCTGTACAGCATACAACATCCCTCTGTCCTTATGACCCTCACAGCGGAAATGTCGTGAACATAACGTAACTGTGACCAGCGCTTTACTTAACATGAACCTTGAGTGGTTAATGTAGTCAAGATTAAGAAATGGAGAGAATGCAGTTTTATTGATTTATTATTGATTTCGAGTGATTAATTCACCGGGAGGACACGTCCTCAGACAGCGTTTTATTGGATGAAGGTCATTGTGGTCACCTGAATGAACCATAGGAGGAAATGCCTCAGAGTTCAGAAAAACAAATGTGATCACTGCGGCTGTGAACGCAGCCTGTCTCAGTTCTTGTGTCTCACATTATCAGAGTGGGAAATGCACTGCTGTGTCCTTCACTGTTTGTGATGATGACAACAATGCAGCGGTTTAATCCGATCCTTCTATTGTCCGTCTCTGAGTGCAAGTTAAAACACAAAGTGAAGGAACTGACAGAGCTGTGGAGGAATCATTCCTCCTGAGACGTTTTAGTCGGTGAAATCAATGCACAGAGCGAGCTGCAGATAATAAAACCCTCTGGATTCTGTTTCATCTTCTCTTTGATCTCCAAACTCAACATTTGCATCGTGCAGCTCGCTGGGTAACGCTCGTTCTGCTCCACTAATCTGTGTGTTTACTTATGAGAAATTACAGCGTCACGCGGCTTAAAGAACAGTGTACTCACATTATGTTTAGTATCAGCAGAGATTCAGAGCTGTGAGGATTTTGATTTTCCTGCTCTGTTCCCCCTCTGTGAGGACATTATTGTGTATTAAGGAGATTTTCATTAAGTTTCATTCTGTGGTTACTGCTCCTCAGCTGGTTCAGACGCAGGTTAACAGGCTGCTGAAAGGCCACAGCAAGTCTTTCCATCAGCTGCATTAAAGGCAGGAAAGTGGATTTACAATGTGGTTATATAATCTGACAGAAAATTAACACATAGGCTCTGCGGTCATTAATGTACTGACTGATTTTTGTCAGCCGAGCTGCCAGCGTAGCTGCTGTAATGGCTTGTGTATTTGTGCCGAACCTCTACAGGCGTCACTGACTGATACACGCAGCTGTGTTTGAAAGGTTTTATAATGAATATAGTGAAGCAAAGTTGCCAGTGACCGTGACTCCTAAGTTGCAGTATGAACAGAACCCAGAGGAGCTTAATGGCTGCACCCGAAATTCCATACTAACATGCTATTTAATATGCTTAAACAGTGTGTGAGTTTTTTAGTATGTCTGAAACTTTGGTATGAAACCATCCATGTGACTGTTAATAAGCAGAAACATAACTTGTTTCTTCATGTGCAACATGTTAGTCTGGAGGTTTAAACTGGTGTCCTCTCACAGAGTTGGTGATTCAAACTAAACTTTCATCTCTGTCAGAGAAAACTGATCTGAGTTCAGTCTGTTTACTTACAGCACAGCTACACTCACAGATAACTGAGCCTCCTACCTGCCTGTCAAACACCATCAACCCACAAACCTTCTCCAGTCCGGACTGAGTGGAGTCCTGCGGGGTGAAGCTGTGAAGGCTGCGAGCGGAGCTAGCTGCTAACAGCCACTGCTGCAACTAACAAACTCCACAAATCCATTCAGCAGCTCCACCATCCACAGTCAGACACACACGGCTGATTATTTACTGCTGAATTACAGCTCACAACTCTCACCAACGGCTGACGCTGCTCAGCTGTGAGTGTTTTTGCTGGCTACTGAAACATCCTGGCGCAGACTATTTACTGGAGTTTACCCGCCTGATGCTCATGCAGCATTTGAAGATAATTACAAGCACGGCCGTTCTTGGCTTTCAACGTCTGATAGTCCACTACTAACATTGTCATCGTCACTGAAAATGAAACATGTATTTTGTCTCAGTTTTTATTATCAAGATCTATTTTTAGCTTGTAATCGTGTCGTTTTCATCATGGAAAAAAAAGTTGTTGACAAAAATGTTTCGTCAGTGAAATGAACACTGCTAGTATGGCTGTGGATTCTTGTTTTAATGACGCATCGTGCCTTAAAATGTGTTTAAGCCTAACAGGTCAGTATCACTAAGAACTGCATTCATTATGTATTTTTCTGCAATGCATAATGTGCTATCAATGCTAATCAGAATCAAAATCAGAAATACTTTCGTTGATCCCTGAAAGGAAACTGTGATTTGTTACAGTCGCTCCGATGTAAAGAACAGAGAATTATCAGAAGTAAGAATAAGAGTATGAAATAGAAGTATGTGAATATTACTCTGTGATGTACCATTGATGCTGGTGCAGAAAGTATTGCAGGTTTGGGAAGTGGATAGACATTTTATGATTACAACTTTTCTCATGAGGTTGACCTGACCCACTGGGGTTCTGTCTGTTCATGTCAATCAACCACTGCTCCTCCTTATGAGCAAATTGAGCTATCATGCTTATAGTCATCATACTTGTCTCCCAGTACTGCTCGTATCTCTCGCCTTCTCTCAGTGATGTTATCATGCGGCCTGTTCTTATTGCGAAGTTGTCAAATACTTTGTCAGTGATTTTGGTGTCAGACTCTAAATGCCACCTTTGCAGTGTTATAAGTGTTATAATAGGCTGTTGGTTGGCCAAACAGCCCCTGTTGCAGCAGTATGATTCATGGCGGCATGATATGTCACTGGACAGCGTCAGTTTGAAATGCTGCTGGAATAGGCGTAATATAAGCAGCAGGAAAGTCCCCATAGGGCGGATGGGGGAGTCGTGGATGGATCCAACAAACCCTGGACTTCCACCTGAGAGCCCGCTGTTCGCTTCCCGTATGAATGTCGGACCAAACCATGATGTGTTCTCCTAAATCTAACCATATGTTTTTGTTGCGTAAACTTAACCATGTGCTTGTGTTACACGACCTAAACTGATGAGCCATCCCGGAACGTCAACAACAAATGCAGGAGGATGCCTTGCACGTAATATGCAGACGTGAGTATCAGACCCAAGGTGTAAGATATCTTACCTAAGACGTTAACTTTGAAAGGGCTGCTGTCGTCTTTCTTCCCCAGTTTCTCCTTATCAGCTGTGGAGAAAACAGAGAGACAGAGTCAATTACAGACAGACAGACAGACAGACATAAAAACAGCTACCGTTGCTTTAAATAAGCATTAACACTTTTTCGTCTTTACATTCAGGCGTCGCTATGAGAGTTTTATTTTTGCTCAGTCTGAATTGTCACCTGATTGTTTGACTTTCTACCTGCTGTCTGGTAGTGTCTTTTTGAATCTGTTTTTTGGCGGGGTGTGTGTGTGTGTGTGTGTGTGTGTGTGTGTTATTTACTCTTCAGGACAGACTAAAGGAAGTGGAGGATGTCGGCAGATGTTTACTCGACGTCTGAGTCTCGCTCCGTTTGTCAGTCGAGGTGGTGAAGGGTCAATCTGAGCCAGACTGTCTGTGTGTGTGTGAGAGTGTGAGTGTGTGTGGGTGAGTGTGTGTGTGTGTGGGTGATGACAAACAAAACAAACAAAGAAGCAGCAGGTTCCTTGTGGTGTTGTTGTGGTGGTTATTTTTCTGTTGACGGGCTTCATGTCTTCATGCTGTCTGCAGGAGGAGGAGCTGCTGAGAATGTTAAACAGTGCATGCACACACACACACTCACACACACACACACACACACTCAGAGGTATAACCGAAATGCACAAAGAGACAAACACACACTCATCCATTTTTAATGCTCCATCAATCCTGAGGAAATATTGACAAAACTCTCCCTCTCTCCATCTGTCTTTGTGCCCCCCCCTCCTCTCTTCCTCCCCCCTCCATCCCTCCTCTTGTTTGTCCCTCTCCCATCTCATTCCTCTCATCATCATCATCACTCTCTCCCCTTCATACCTCCCCTCCCTCCTTCTCTCTTTGTGTTGCCAAAGAACACACAGAAGGAAAATGCTGCTTGAAAAAGAAAGAAATTCCTGATTATATAACAACCTGCAGATGTTAGGAAAAAAAAAATCAATCTAAAACTATAACCACAAAGATATACACACACCTCCGTGCCTTGGTCTGGGTCTATTTCCCTGGTCTTATGAGGCGAAATCTTAAATGCTTCAACAAATAATGATATTTTGGGTGCTATTTGGTTCATTTGCCTCATTAAATCCAGTTTGTTTGGTCCAGTGTGAGAGCTGTCAATCAAACTCTGATGTGGACCAATCAGCCGGACTGATACTGACACAACATCAGCCTAATAACAGACAGATGCGGCAGATGTAGGACAGTGGGAACGAAATTGGCGTCAAGTGCAACACTTGATCGTTTTATTAGTGTTTCATAGTGGACAACAACCACCGCTGCATCTGGGACACCTCAAGACATACTGACAAAAAGACTGCTGTGTCAGAATGTTTTTAACCTTCTGTTTATTTATTTTATTTACTTGTTTATCTGACAAAGACAAATGCATAAGACATTGCTTCATATGTAAAATACAAAGTAGATGCAATGCATACAGGTCTCTAGCCATGGCTAATTTGCAGCCCCTCTCCTTGGTCAGGCTTTTAGAGTTAAAATAATCAGTGTAAAGTTACTGAGCATGGAGTCAAGTTATTGCACAAGAAGTTACCTCCTACATACAGGATACTATCTCCTATGTACAGGATTTTATGTCGTGGGAGAAAGTATCTCAGATAAACAAGATATTGTCCCCTACGTATGGGATGTTATCTCCTATACAAAAGATATTATACAGAATATATGTTATCTCCAACATAAATGATGTTATCTCCTACATATAGGGTGTTATCCACTACATAAGAGATACTATTATCTCCTATTTACAGGATGTTATCTACTACACAAAAGATATTATACAAGATACATGTTATCTCCTACATTCAGGGTGTTATCCACTACATAAGAGATACTATTATCTCCTATATACAGGATGTTATCTACTACACAAAAGATATTATACAAGATATATGTTATCTCCTACATACAGGATGTTATCTTCTACATAAGAGATACTATTATCTCCTATGTACAGGATGTTATCTACTACACAAAAAGATATTATACAAGATATATGTTATCTCCTACACACAGGATGTTATCTCCTACACACAGGATGTTATCTTCTACATAAGAGATACTATTATCTCCTATGTACAGGATGTTATCTACTACACAGAAGATATTATACAAGATACATGTTATCTCCTACATTCAGGGTGTTATCCACTACATAAGAGATACTATTATCTCCTATATACAGGATGTTATATACTACACAAAAGATATTATACAAGATATATGTTATCTCCTACATACAAGAAATTAACCCCTATGTATGGAATGTTGTCTCGTCTGAGATATTATCTCAGACAAACAGGATATTACCCTGTATGAGATGTTATCTCCTGCATACCATATAATATACAAGCTATATGTTATCTCCTACATACAGGATGTTATACAAGATATGTTATCTCCTACATGCAAAATATTGTCTCCTATATGGGATGTCACCTTGTAGGAGATACTATCTCTGACATACAAGATATTACCTCCTACGTGCAGGATTATATTTCCCTTATAGAAGATATTACTAGATATATTATTAGGATATGTTATGTCCTGCATACGAGAAATTATCTCCTATGTACAGGACGTCATCTCATAAGAGATATTAGCTCCTACATACAAAATATTATCCCCTACGTACGGGATGTTATCTCCTATGTAGGACATAAACTTAAAGGCTTCATTGGAGAGTGAGAAAGCTGTGCACCTGCCTGCAACGTCTCGGCTCCCATTTTTCTCTTCACACAGGTAATCACAGCCCCTTCAGTGCTCAATGAATATAAAATTCAGCACCACTATTAGGCCTCATTTACACTGCAAGCAATGCGTTTGCGTAGTGCTTGCGAACGCATTGCTTGCGGGGTAAATGAGGCCTCAGACCTGTTATGCCATAAGACACAAGAACTTGCAAAGACAGCAGAGAACACAAAGGATGAATTGCTGGTAGGTTTTAGGAAACTGCAGTCTGTTTTTAGTCATAGCTGAGCGATCAGTGACACGGCTGTGCAAGCTATCTGCTAACAAATAGGAATGAGCATCAAAGCATCAAAGCCATACTCAGTGGTGCATTGGAGGGTATATGCAGGTATATGAGGTATACCCACCTCTTTTTCTGGTCGTTTATAGTATACCCACCTATCAGCCAAGAGGCCATTGCAATATATTGGAGACTATACAAACTTCCCTCCCGCTAACCCACCTATCTACGGAGTAGGACACCAACCTAACCAACCACCACTACACCACTGGCCAAAGTCCAAGGCTGAGTTTGTAAAGACGTGCACGCTGAGAAGCCAAGACAAGTAGAAATTGTACTTATTTTTCTGAAGGCACAAGGCTGTTTATCATCTGCACTGAATGTTTTCAGAATGTACTATGCGATGGTTTTACTGGTCCAGCACACTGTATGTGGCCAATGAATTCAAATGAGTCTGACACCCCTGGTGTACATTCTTGCTCCCTGAAGTCGATCCCTAGCATCTCCTTCCCCATGAAAGACAGAAAGCTGTGACTGGTCAGGGACCAATGTGTAGTCTTTCATGTCTCCAGATTGAGTGATGAGAAGAACGTAGGACTCTATAACCTGACACAGTGGCCACCTTAACAGAGAAAAATATTGTGAAGTCTGAAGCCTGCATTAAGCACAGTGGTGCTGCTAGCATGGCTAAACCATACAGATCGTGCTAACAACCCATCGGCTTATAAAGAATGTGTGGGTAATGGATTATAAAACTGGCAAAACTTAAAACTGCCATGAAAGAAAGAAAGTGTAGAAGAAAAAGCTTGGAACTTCACAGTTTTATCTACCATAAACAATAAAAACAGCTTGATGTGTTTTCTGCAAAACAGTTCAGATCAAATCCTTTGATTTTGGCTTGTGGTGTTTGGTAAATGTTGGCCCGGCGCCCCGAGGAGACAGCAGATCAGAGGAGAGGGCAGGTGCTCTTCACTTCAGGGTGCACCCACATACCCAACCCACCCACCCATCACATCCCTGAGCCAATCAGATGCTTGGTCACCGGCCACCTTCAAGCAATAACCACTGACAAGAAATCCATAAATCCTGCCGGGTTACCATCTCCTGCCAACACCCGCAGAGACAGAGCTGAGAGTGTGTCTCCACTAAGACGACACATTGTGATTCAAGGTGAGTCTATCAACATAAATCAGATCTTAGAAGATACTCGGAGAATGTACTGAGACTGGGAGAGCTCAGGGTGTTGGCACAGACTCTGAAAAACATCAGACAGCAAACTGTGACTGCAAATGAGGTTTGTATCTCACACCCCGCTCCCCTGAGAGACCAAAAATTATTCAGTGATAGATCAGAAGAAAAAAACGTGACGTATCTCAAGTCTGTGTTTTTAACTTTCTCGTGAAAAGCTGCTGTTGATACCAAGAATAAAATGTGGAATTGAATAGGTAAGAGTGTCTGCATCACTGAATACCAAGAGGAAGATCATCAGTGTTTTAAGCTATGGTGGTGTCACCCATTATGACAACTTGAGTCACCGGCTTGTTTTTTGGTGGCAGAAGTGACTGTATGTAAACGGGCGACATAGTATATAAAAATTCATCCCCTGTGCAGCTGTCATGATGGGGTAAATTAGCTACAGAGGATAAAAACATTTTTGTATCAGGCTGTAAACATGTTTATTTCTGCTGTAAAGTTAGGTGTTTTAACATAGGGGTCAGTGGGGATTAATCGGCTTCTGGAGCCTGCATCAAGTGGCCATTAGAGGAACAGCAATTTTGGGTACTTCTTTATTAGCTTCAGTTTCAGACCGCTTGGTTTTAACGCAAAACAGATCTGCAACAAACTGCAAACTATTAACCTGTGGTTTTTGTTGGCCATGTCCCGAAATGTTGAACTTGTAGAGGTTTGCAGAGTGGACAAACTTTGCGCTCATTTTCAAGACTTCACAGTAATTTTTGGCAGGGCTGTAAACACAGGAGACATGAGACGGAAAATCACAGGAAACTCTAAAATATTCTCATTTTTGG